CTGGGTGACAGAGTGAGACTCCAACTAAAAAAAAAAAAAAAAGATAGAGGGAAAAAAAGAAAAAGAAAATACTATGCCATTTTATATTAGAAACTTAAACATCCTCAAATTTTGGTATCCACAGGGGTCCTGGAACCAACCCCCTGCAGATAATAAAGGATGGCTATACTGAGTCTCCTTTTGGGGTAATACAGATGTTTTGGAAGTAGATAGGGGTAATAGTGGCCCAACATTGTGAATATACTAAATGCCATTGAGTTGTTCTTTTTAAAAAATTTTTGCTAAAGACAAGGTCTTGCTATGTCATCCAGGCTGCAGCATAGAAGCTAGTCACAGGTGCAATCGTGGTACACTACAGTCTCCAACTCCTGGGACTAAAGGTATGCACCACCATACCCAACAAATTATTCATTTTTATATGATCAACTTTATGTTTTGTGAATTGTACTTTAATAAATAATAGAAGGGCTGGATGCAGTGGCTCACACCTGTAATCCCAGGACTTTGGGAGGCAAAGGCAAGAGGATTGCCTAAGCTCAAGGGTTTGAGACCAACCCGAGCAATATGGCGAGACTTCATCTCTACAATGAATCAAAAATTAGCTGGGCGTGGTGGCGCACGTCTGTATTTCCAGCTACTTGAAAGGCTGAGGTGGAAAGATTGCTGAGCCCAGCAGGTCGAGGCTGTAGTGGTCGTGAGCATGCCACTGCACTCCAGCCTGGGTGACAGACTGAGACTCCTACTCAAAAATAATCACAACAATAATAATAATTAATAGAAGTAGAGGTAAGGCAAAAATCACATCAGTGGCACAAAAATGACCCTTATTTTTACTGTTATTTATTTATTTATTTATTTTGATTTGGAGTCTCACTCTGTCGCCCAGCTAGAGAGCAGTGGCACAATCATAGCCACCACAGCCTCAACCTGCTGGGCTCAGGTGATCCTTCCACTTCAGCCTTCCAAGTAGCTGGAACTACAGGTATATGCCACCACGCTCAGCTAATTTTTGGATTTATTGTAAAGACGAGGTCTCACCATGTTGCCCAGGCTGGTCTCGTATCCGTGGGCTTAAGCAATCCTCTTGCCTCAGCCTCTCAAAGTGCTGGGATTACAGGCATGAGCCACCGTGCTGGCTGATTTTTATTTATTTTTTATGGAGATGTTGTCTTGCTATGTTGCTCAGGCTGGTCTTGAACTCCTAGACTCAAGCAGTCCCTTCTGCCTCAGCCTCTCAGAGTGCTGGAATTACAGGTATGAACTATCACACTCAGCCAAAAATGGCCCTAAGTTTTAAAATGCTTTTCTAACTTAGCAGGAGTCATATGTGAGGGAAGAACAGCAAGAGATCTGCATGTGATATATACAGACTCATCAATAAGGGTCAGGTGTTTTTGGATCTTTTTAAAGAATTATTGTTATTTGGAGAGATGAGATCTCACTATGTTGCCCAGGCTGGTCTCAAATTCCTAGGCTCAAGCAATCCTCCCACCTCAGCCTCCCAAAGTTCTGGGAATACATACGTGAGCCATCACACCCGGCCAGTTAGTATTCAGGTCTTAAAAATCGTTCCGTGAATTGTTCCAGAGGATGAATTGTGTGATTATTCTTTTTTTTTTTTTTTTTGAGTCAGAATTTCACTGTCTCTCAGGTTGGAGTGCAGTGGCACGCTCATGGCCACTATAGCCTTGACCTACTGGGCTCAGGCAATTCTTCTGCCTCAGTCTTCCAAGTAGCTGGAACTACAGGCATGCACCACCATGCCCAGCTAATTATTCTTGAATGAAAGACCCCCAAGACGAGAAATGAAATATACACTGTGTCTCATTAAGTGTCACTTTCTAGAGCTACACTCCATCCCACTTTTTGGTGGCAGCATTTGTGAACTCTGTGGCTCCTCTAAAGGACCGTCCTCCTGGACTTAACTGTGGATTTGTTTTGCCTTCCAGCGGGCCCAAGCGTTATGACTGGACCGGGAAAAATTGGGTATACTCCCACGACGGCGTGTCCCTCCACGAGCTGCTGGCCACGGAGCTGACAGAGGCCTTGAAAGCCAAACTGGACTTGTCTTCCTTGGCCTATTCTGGAAAACACACCTGATGCTCAACCCCATTTCAAAGACTGAAAGTTGTCGGCCGGGATCCCAGCCTCGTGCTGCTGCTGAGGTCTGTTTGATCCCATTCCTGCTTTCGAGGACTGTTGCGTTGTGTGTAACAGCTCTGTGAAAAGAATGTGTTGTCTCCCATCCTGCCCCCAAGTTCTGAGTTTTAATTTCTACAGAGGTTTTTTTTTATTTTATTGTCTGATTTCCTCTCTCATATCATATCCCTTATCTTTTACAATGTCTTAATATAATAACCTTACCTCCCAAAAAAGAAGGAAAAATTCTACAAGGAGAAATGAATTGTCTTCTCTTCATTCTTTGAAGAATTTGCTGGAAGAGCGGCTGGCAATCTCACCTTTCTGTCTCAAAATGAGACTCACTAAAGGACAGCTTGTCAGTGTTCCCAGGTCTCTTTCAAAGTGTAAGCGCTTCTGAGAACTCTAGCATTGAACTGTCAAAAGCAACTCAGATGGCGCAGTAGCTCACGCCTATAATCCCAGCTCTTTGGGAGGCCCAGGAGGGAGGATTACTTAAGCCCAGGTGTTCGAGACTAGCCTGGGCAACATAGTGAGACCTTGTCTCTACAAAAAAATCAAAAAAAGTATCCAAGCATAGCAACATGCTCCTGGAGTCTCAGCTACTCAGGAGGCTGAGGCAAAAGGATTTTCTGAGTCCAGGAGGTTGAGGCTGTGGTGAGCCTTGACCATGAAACTCAGATGGGAAGATCATCCCCTATGTGTGCTTGGTGCCTGTCAGAGTGTGGCCTGCACCTGGTTATCCAGGGAGACCTGGGACTGTTTCTGCCACATATCCATATATTTGTGTGCACACATGTGTGAATGTGTGTGCTTTTTAATCTTAAGGGTCAATATAGAATCAGTTGCAGCATGAGTCTGAGAATGCACACAAAAAAAGAAACTTCCGGGCCAGGCTCAGTGGCTCAGCCTGTAATCCCAGCACTTTGGGAGGCCAAGGTGAGTGGATTGCCTGAGTCCGTGGGTTCGAGACCCGCCTGGGCAACTTGACGAGAACTCATCTCTACAATAAATCAAAAAATGAGCCAGGCATGGCAGCGCACGCCTATAGTTCCAGCTACTTGGAAGGCTGAGGCGAAAGGATCGCCAGAGCCCAGCAGGCTGCGGTGGCTGGGAGCAGCCACTGCACTCCAGTCTGGGCGACAGAGTGAGACTCCAACTCAAAAAAAAAAAGAAAGAAACTTCCCAAAGACAAGAAAGGGAAAGAAAGTCATTTCCTAAGTTGAGTAGTATAGTATAATAAACAGGGCATTCGGCCGGGCTCAGTGGCTCAGCCTGTAATCCCAGCACTTTGAGAGGCTGAGGTGAGTGGATTGCCTGAGCCCGTGGGTTCAAGACCCGCCTGGGCAACTTGATGAGACTTCATCTCTACAACAAATCAAAAATTAGCCAGGCATGGTAGCGCGCGCCTGTAGTTCCAGCTCTC